CGAGTCCTTGTGGCGGTATTGAGAGAGGTCATTATACGATCGTTGAGTTTCAGCCATGAGCGTGAAGTCTATAGCGTCTGTTGTGATGGAAGCCATCTCGATTCTTGAAAGGGCATCAGCAACCACATTTTCCTTACCATGAACATGTTGGGTGTCGCAGGAAAACTGTGAGATACAGTCGAGATGACGACTTTCACGGGGCGAGTATCGATCGGGAGAGGCCCTCAGTGCAAAACCGAGTAGCTTGTGATCTGTCAGAACGACAAATTCGCGACCCTCGAGGAAATGTCGGAAGTGCCGGATGGATAAGTAGACAGCGAGCAGTTCTCGGCCGAAGACAATGTAGCGGGTCTCTGCTGGGCTGAGCTTCTTCGAGAAGAAAGCCACAGGCTGTAGAACACCACTAACAGTTTGCTGCAGTGATGCACCAAATGCAGTGCTGGAAGCATCTGTCATGAGAGTTAGCTGGGCATCTGAGCGGGGGTGGGCAAGCAGAGTTGCTTTCACAATTGCGACCTTGACGTCATTGAAGGATTTGACGGCATCCTCGGTCATCACCGGTTTCTTCTTAGAGTGAGTCAAAAGGCTGTTGAGTGGCTGCAGAATGGTGGTACCATGGGGAAGACAACGGCGATAGTAGTTCACCATCGCCAAGAAGCGGCGTAGATGGTTGAAGGGGGGTTGAAGTTAAAGGGGGAACCCTGATATGAATGAAACCATTTCTGGGACGGGTTTATCCCATCAGAGTTCACCTCGAAACCCAGGAAAAATATGCTAGGTATTATAAACTCACATATATAAGAATTTATTACAAAGCCCAAAGCGTCGAGTCGTTCGAACAGTCGTCCAAGATGAACCTCGTTTCCAGCAGCGTCAGAGCTAGTCACCAGCAAATTATCAATGTAGACGTAGACGAGGTCCTGTATATCATCCCACGAGGAAAACGAAGAAGAGAAAGCGATTTCATGGACCAGGTTGTATTCAGACTGACGTTTCGGAAACTCTCTCGTTTCCATCATCAGAGTCGTCCGCTGACTTTTCCTGTTGGCCTTGATCTGTTCAGCTCTGCCGCCTGCCTCGTATTATAACCGTGCCCAGCGCACGTTTGTTGACTAGCCTGTCTTCCGTTGGCTCATTGTCGCCTCCCTGATCTCAGCCATTGGCGGACTGGCGTAGCTTGTGTCCCCCTCCCGCCTAAAATGGTTGCCGCTGCGTCAGCGTGCTCTTTTGCCTCCCCCTCGTCAGACGGCGAGCTGACCGATCGTTCTTCCTCAGGCGTGGTGTTTCCAGCCTCGCGAGTACGTCCATGAGACAGTGTGCCACGTCGGTCACCTGACATTCGGTCAGCGCCTTCTCCTCTCTCCGCGAGCGTCGGCGGTCGACCCCGTGTGACTCTTTTCATCCGTGCCATCGGCCCTGCCTCGACTGACTCGAGTCTTGCGCGGAGCGCCTGGTAGGCGGGATGTAGGTCTATGGCTCGGTTGAGTGTGCCAGTCAAGGACCAACTTTCCAGCATTAGTCTGGCCATTTTATCATTGGCTAGGCCGGTCACACTCGCTTTCTCGAAGGCGAAACTGTGATTCCGCTCTAGTGTGTGGTCATACACCAACGACAGCTTATCCTCGCGGTTGATTGCTAGCTGGTGCTCGTGCAATCTTGTGCCGAGGCGTTTTTCCGTTTCACCAACATACCTGGCATCACAATCTTCGCATGGTATGCTGTAGACCACCGCTGATTGTTCTGTCACCGGGAGCGGGTCTTTGGGCCTCATGATTTGCTGTCTGATTGTTGATGCTGGTTTATGGGCCACACAAATTCCGAAAGATTTCACAATTCTCGAAGTCGCCTCTGAAAGTTTCTTCACATAGGGGATCGAGAGCCAGAACTTGAGTTTCTCGTCGTTCGACCGCCCCGAGTGGGACTTTTTGAGACACTTGTGTATGAACGACTTCGGGTAACCGTTGGCTTCAAATAGGGCACGTAAGTACTTCACCTCCTTCTTCCTGTCATCGTCGTCGCTGCAGTGTGTTTGGGCGGGTTACAAAAGGGTCCTGGCAGAACTGTGTTTTTGACCGACGGTGTGGTTGCTTCTGAATTGGAGGATGCGCCTAGTGTTAGTCGCCTTACGGTAGACCGTCGTGTTTATATTCCCGTCTGCCAGTTTTGTGACTTGTACGTCATTGAAGGGCAATTGATTGTCGGCCTCTTCTTCCATAGTGAACTGTATGTGGGGAAATATCGAATTCAAAAGTGCCATGAAATCTTGCACGTCGCTCCATTTTATTATGACGAATGTGTCGTCGACATATCTGGCCCAGAACTTCGGAGGGCACGAGCTGAATACCAGTCGCTCCAGCCTCTGCAAAACCGTTTCGGCAATTAGTCCACACAGAGGTGAACCCATTGGCGTTCCCTTTTTTTGCTCGTACACTAGGCCGTTAAATGGGAAGAAAGTCTTAAGACACAGTTCTAGGAGCTGGATGATGTGGACTCATTTAAGCTGTTGGTCGATCTCGCCGTATTTGCCTCGATGAAGCCCGTCGAGAGTGTCGATGGTCATGGCGGGCGGGATAGAAGTGAACAGTGAGACCACGTGAATGGACACCATCACCTCGTCTGTCTCCACTCTACTATGTCGGATGCGAGCCAAAAACTCCTCAGCTGACTTCACTGTCCACTCTGAGTCCTTGACGAGGAATCAAAGTCGCTGGTACAGCCACTTTGATAGCCCAAAAGTTGGTGTGCTACGTTAAGAAACGATTGGACGGAGGGGCACTCCTGGCTTGTGTACCCTGGGCAGGCCGTAGTAGCGTGCCATCGCGGTGTCAGTGGCTTTCGCGGACAGTGTCTCTCTTCTCATGAGGGCGCTCGCTTTCTTTAACCTGCTCACCGTCTTGTTTATGTTGTTTACTAGCCTTGTCAACTCGCTGACATCCGAAAGCGCGTATGATTCCTTGTCCATCAGCAGGTTTTCCAGTTTAGTCAAGTATTCGGTCTTATCCATGACGACTGCCGAGCGTCCCTTGTCAGCAGGCAGGGTGACAATATTGTTTATGTTTCGTATACCGAAAAGTTCTCGATCTTCGGCTTCGGAAATCGTCATTTGGGATTTGTGCTGGAGAAGTAAGGACGGCACCTGTTGCCTCATGGCGTGTTTGCGTTCTTCATCTGCCTCGCACTTCTGGAGCGCTGATTCGAAGGATGCGATGAAGTCTTCTGGTCGAGCATCTTTCGTGCTGAACTTAATGCCATAGAATAAAACCACTAACTGTTGTTGCGTGAGACCATGGGAGGACAGGTTGTGAACCAACATCCCATCAGAGGAGGGCTGTTTCGGCGGACTTATTTTACTGAATTTTTTTAACAGTTGATCATTGCGTTACTTTCGGTGACGCTGTACCAGCGACTTTGATTCCTTGTCAAGGACTCAGAGTGGACAGTGAAGTCAGCTGAGGAGTTTTTGGCTCGCATCTGACATAGTAGAGTAGAGACAGACGAGGTGATGGTGTCCATTGACGTGGTCTCACTGATCACTTCTATCCCGCCCGCCCTGACCATCGACACTCTCGACGGGCGTACTGTGTGTAGACCTGCTGTGTAACCCGTTATAAAATTCACAATACATTTTTTCTGTTTTTTAAATATGTTCATCTTTCCGATTATATTTTTGGATGGCTGTTTTCATTATATATGTATATTTTTGAAGCGAATATTCGAGTACGCGGACATAAGTGAGAATAAGAGGTTATCTCGGCAACCATGATTTTATTTTCCTCACTTTTGAGCAGCAGACAAGGTTTCATCTTCGGGGGTGATTATCGTTCGGCTTCACACAGTATTTGAGAGAGAGAGAGAGCGAGCGAGAGAGGAATGCGCTTTATTCTGAAATCATATGTTCAAAATTTTCAGCAAAATTTGGCTCCATTCACTATGGCCAGTAAATAAGTTAATATTTTATTCAAGAGTCAAAGTTTAACACAAAGAAACGATTAT